TGGGTCCTGAGGGAGGTTGACTCCCAGTTTCCTGAGAAACCGCCACACTGATTTCCACAGTGGCTGCACAAGTTTGCATTCCCACCAACAATGGATGAGTGTTCCCCTCATTCCACATCCTCTTCAGCATAGGCTATCATTGGTGTTTTTGAGTTTGGCTATTCTGACAGGTGTAAGATGATATCTCAAAGTTGTTTTGATTTGCATTTCCCTGATCGCTAAGGAGGTTGAGCATAACCTTAAGTGCCTTTTGGCCATTCGGAGTTCATCTGTTGTGAATTCTCTGTTCAGTTCAGTACCCCATTTTTTAATGGGGTTAATTAGAGTTTTAGTGTCTAGTTTCTTGAGTTCTTTGTATATTTTGGAGATCAGACCTTTGTCTGATGAGGGATTTGTGAAGATCTTCTCCCAGTCGGAAGGTAGCCTTTTGGTCTTACTGACAGTGTCCTTTGCTTTACAGAAGCTTCTCAGTTTGAGGAGGTCCCATTTATTCATTGTTTCTCTTATTGTCTGCGCTCCTGGGTTTCTGCTTAGGAACTGGTCTCCTGTGCCTATATCTTGTAGACTACTTCCCACTTTCTCTTCTATCAGGTTCAAAGTGGTCGGATTAATGTTGATGTCTTTAATCCATTTGGACCTGAGTTTTGTGCATGGTGATAGATATGGATCTATTTTCATTCTTCTACAGGTTGACATCCAGTTATGCCAGCACCATTTGTTAAAGATGCTTTCCTTCTTCCATTGTATACCTTTAGCTCCCTTGTCGAAAATTAGGTGTTCATAGGTTTGTGGGTTAATATCCGGGGTATACTTGATTTCATAGGTCGACTTCTCTGTTCTTATGCCAATACCAAGCTGTTTTCAATACTGTAGCTCTGTAATAGAGTTTGAAGTCAGAGATGGTAATGCCTCCAGAAGTTCTTTTATTGTATAAGATTGTTTTGGCTATCCTGGGTTTTTTGTTTTGCCATATAAACTTGATTATTGTTCTCTCAAGGTCTGTGAAGAAGTTTGATGGGATTTTGATGGGGATTGCATTGAATCTATAGATTGCTTTTGGTAGAATTGCCATTTTTACTATGTTGATTCTCCCAATCCAAGAGCAGGGGAGGTCTTTTCATTTTCTGGTATCCTCCTCAGTTTCTTTCTTTAAAGACTTAAAGTTCTTGTCAAATAGGTCTTTCACTTCCTTGGTTAGAGTAACCCCAAGATATTTTATGCTATTTGTGGCTATCGTGAAAGGTGATGTTTCTCTGATTTCCCTCTTTGCTTCTTTATCTTTTGTGTATAGGAGGGCAACTGATTTTTTGGAGTTGATCTTGTATCGACAAACCCCTATCCAAACTAATCAAACGGCAGAGAGAGAACACTCAAATTAATAAGATCAGAAATGAAAAGGGGGACATAACCACAGACACAGAGGAAATTCAGAGAATCATTAGTTCTTACTACGAAATTTTATATACCACAAAGTTGGAAAATGTAAAAGAAATGAACATTTTTTAAGATAAGTACCATATACCAAAGTTGAAAAAAGAACAGTTGAACAATCTAAATAGACCTGTTAGTCGCGAAGAATTAGAAGCTGTTATCAAAAATCTTCCTACCAAAAAAAGCCCAGGACCAGATGGTTTCAATGCAGAATTCTGCCAGAACTTCCAGGAAGAGGTAATACCTATACTCCTTAATGTATTCCACAATATAGAAACAGAAGAGTCATTGCCAAACTTCTTTTATGAAGCTATAGTTACCCTGATACCCAAACCACACAAAGACTAAACCAATAAAGAGAATTACAGGCCAATCTCACTCATGAACATCGATGCAAAAATTTTCAATAAAATACTGGCAAACCGAATCCAAGAACATATTAGAAAAATTATCCATTATGATCAAGTGGGCTTCATCCCAGAGATGCAGGGCTGGTTCAACATATGCAAATCTATCAATGTAATCCATCATATAAATAAACTGAAAGAAAAAAAACCATATGATCATTTCATTGGATGCTGAAAAAGCGTTTGAGAAAATTCAACACCCATTTATGATAAAGGTGTTGGAGAGACTGGGGATACAAGGATCATACCTAAATATAATAAAAGCAATATACAGCAAGCCAACAGCTAACATCAAATTGAATGGAGAGAAACTCAAACCATTCCACTAAAATCAGGAACATGACAAGGCTGTCCACTCTCTCCATACCTCTTCAATATAGTGCTTGAAGTTCTAGCAATAGCAATAAGACAGCATAAGGAGATCAAGGGGATTCGAATTGGAAAGGATGAAGTTAAACTTTCGTTATTTGCTGATGATATGATAGTGTACATAAGCGACCCCAAAAACTCTACCAAAGAACTCCTACAGCTGATAAACACCTTTAGTAATGTGTCATCTGTGTTTTTATTTTTTACATTTAAAAATTTTTTATACTATAATTACCCTCTCATATGCATCTCCTTATTCTCATCCAAATATGACTCAATTTTCATTCATTGCTATTCCTTGCACATACATATATTTATGTATGTATATATATACTCATATATATACATATATCCATGAATATAACCTGCTCTATCTAAATAATGTCACTTGTATGCTTGTTTTCAGTGTTAACCACTTGGTATTGAATAACTAGTCTGTGTTCTCTTTTCTGGAGAAGACCACCTCTTCCACTCCTGGCATTCCTCAGGTACTTAGAGTTTTTTGTGTAGTCTTGAGGCATCATAGCATTTCTCTGTCCATTTTGGCATGTCTATTAGTGTCATCTTTGTTCAGCTCATGTTTGGTCGGTCATACTGATGAGATTTTATGAGTATAGCTTTTCACATTACATCACAGCAAGATGCCTGCCCTTTTGACTCTTACAATCTTTCTGCCCATTTTTCCAAAGCATTCCATGACTTTACTAGCACTGAGTCGTTAGCTAGATTTCCAGTATCAGGCATGGTTTTCCTCTTGTTGAATTTGGCTTAAGCCCAATTAAAGAGCTGTTGGTTGCTGCCAAGGCATGTATGCCATTGTGCCCTTGGGGTTATCGTGTTATGTTGGCCAGTCATATCGTTCATAGATGTCATAGCTAAGTAGGACTGTTGGTTGCCTCCCTCCTTTAGAATTTTACATGGAACATTCTGGAGGCATCTGTGTTCTTTCAAAGATTGGAGTGTATTGCTCCAGGATCTTCTGGACACTCATAATTTGGCAGTTCTTCTAATGTTTTTCCTTTATATGTGACTTGTGGTTTTTCTCTTATAGTTTTCAGTACACCCTCTTTGTTTTATATATTTTGTTTTAACTATAATATACCACAGTAAGTTTCTTTTCTGGCCCTGTATATTAGGTGGTCCATGGTTCATAAGCCTCTTGTATTATGTATGCCTTTCCTTAATTTTGGGAAATTTTCTTCTATGATCTGGTCTATGTCATTCACTGGGAATTCTTTTCCATCTATGCATATAATTCATAGTTTTGGTATTTTCATGGAGTTCTAAAGTTCCTCATACCTCTTTGTTTTTGGAAAATTTTCATATTCTTTGCTTGAGTGACCCAATTCTTCTACTTTACTCTCACATCTTGACATTCTATCTTTTACTTGACCCATCCTACTAGTAATAAACTAGTAAGTTTTCTAATTGGATTATTGAGTTTTACAGTTCCATCATCTCAGCTTGCATTTTCTTCAGTATTTCTATCTTTTTACTCTGTTCACTTTTTAGATCCTGACTTTACTTTGTGTTTCATTCAGCTGTGTTTGTGGTTTCTTGGACTTGGGAGCTTAAGTTTATTTAGAAATTTGTGATGTCTTTAAATTCCATGGGTTCCTTGCTTATGATAATTTTTGCTTGAAAGTCTGTGTCCTGAGTTTAGGTTATCTAAGTAGTTCCCATTGAAGATTTTTTTCTTGCAAAGTGAACTGGACATGTGGATTTCTTTCTTCAGTTGTATATCAGGTGTGAAATTCTAGTCTGCTCTATATAGTAGAAATTTGGCTTTGCTGTTGCCACCCAAACTTGGTCAATTTGACATCAGATATGAAGAGTTGGTATATCAACTCTCTGGTTCTCAGTGTTGATTTTTATTTTTTGTGTACAGGTGTTTTGCATGACTGTATATGTACACAATGTACATACAGTGCCCAGAGAAACCAGAATAGGGCATCAGATTCCCACGAGAATTAAAGATGGCTGTAAGTTACCATATGGGTACTACAAACCAAATCCAAGTTCTCTTACAAAGCCAGCATTGTAACTGCTGAGCCATCTCTCTAGCCTCTCAGTGTTTGTTTTTTACTAGAAGGGTGTGGGCGATTCCAATTCAGTGGTAACCAAGAAAGTTATGAATGGGACTTATGGTTGGGTTTGCCTAGGCTGGTGTGAAAGCTTCACTATTAAAGCTATGCATAGCAGCATGTGCAGGTGAGATGTAATCTGAAGTATTCACCAAGCTAAACTGGTGAGTGCACAAGCTGTTACAGGAAGGTTTGGTCTTGGGTTTGGTGATGTTCTGTAAGCACTTACCAGGCTAGGTCAGCACAGAAGCTGAGCTAACAGGGTTAGGCCTGAGTATTGTGGGTGTTGTAAGTGGTTCAGGTTGTAAGGAACTCACCAGAATAGGTGGTGCACAACCAGCACAAGACATGGGGTTTGGGGATGGCATGCATTGCAGTTTTTTTAAAAAAAGGCTTTGACATAGGAAAATCAGATGATGTATATCCAACAGTAATGCTTTTGTGGTTGAGATCTATTATTTTTACTACTGTATTTTCAACAGTGTGCCATCATAGCCTTCAACAGATATAAGGTTAATTTAAATAACTGAGTTATAATTTCATAGAAAGGTTAATATCTACTTCTATAAATGGAATTATTGGGCTATGGCACTAAGAATATTTTATAACTTTAGGATGTTTGAGAGGGTAAAGGTGAACTTTATAATCATAATCAAAAAGTTGTACTTTTTAACCAAGCATATAGTTCTTTATTTCATGTGTATTACAGATGTTTCATGATGTTGAAACAGACAGAGTAATAATTAATGTATTCAACTGTCCAGCTCTATATGATGATGTGAAAGTGAAATTTCTTTCTCCGGTGAGTAATCAAGATACACCTTTTTTCTGTCTTGTTTTTTCCTTGTTTTGGTTTTTTGAGACAGAGTTGCATAGTACAGATCGACTGGAAGCTTACCATACAACCCAAGTTGGCCTTGAAGATGTGGTCCTCCTGCCTCAGCCTCCCAAGTGCTGATGTTACAGGTTTGTGTCACCAAGCATGGATTTCTTGTCTAGTCTTTTGAATGGTTTTGGTTTGGAATTTCCTTTGCTACAGTGCCCAATAAAGAAAATGACAGACATGTCTGTTGTAGCACAAATAATAAAAACCCAGAGACAGATATTAGGGTTCAACCTGAAGATCAGAAAAGCAAAGTAGCCAAGCCACTAGAGAGATCTTGCCTCTACCAAGGCTCAGACAAACAAAGGCAGCCCTATAATGCACTTTGCCATCTTCAGACACCACATTCCACTGAGTTCCTGCCTCTTCCCCTTTATAGTTCTTTCCACCCAGGCACATTGCTCCTGTCTCCACTTCCCTAGTGCTCTGAATAAAGGCACGTACTCCCAAGTGCTGGGATCACCTTTGCGTGAGCTCTGTTTCTCTTTTTGACATATTCGGTGTTGTTTAGTACAGAGTGGCCTTGAACTCACAGAGGTCTGTCTGTCTCCTGAGTCCTGGGATTAAAGATATGTGCTACTCTCTTGCCTGTATGACTGACTAGTATAGCTGCTTAACCCTCTAGTATTCTGTTAAGTTTGATTTATTTATTAAAACACAAATAATAGCTGGGCCATGGTGGTACATACCTTTAATCCCAGCATTTGGGAAACAGAGGCAGGTGAATCTCTGTGAGTTCAAGGCCAGCCTGGTCTACAGAGTGAGTTCTATGAGCCATGGCTACACTGGGAAACCCTGCTTGAAAAATTAAAAAAAAACACAAATAATAAACCACTATAGCAAAGAAATTAGAGGAAAGCAACAATTCAAAATGAAACACTTTTTCCTAAAGAACATATATAATATTTTTGTATTTCATGAATTCTATAAATAAGCGTATATTTAAGTAAATATTGAAATATCTTGATTTAAAAAAAAACAAAATACTACAAAGCAGTGATTATGTTTTTGTTTTGTATATTTAAATACATTGTGGTCACTGCGAGTTCTGCCATATGTCTTTAATCCCAGCACTTAGGAGACAGAGGTAGATGAATATCTATGAGTCTGAGGACAGTCTGATATACATTGTGAGTTGCAAACCAACCGGGCCACAATAGTGAAATTCTGTCTCCCCAAAACCCAAAATGACAAACCAAATTTATTGTTGTCACTATATTAAAACATACTTTAAGCATAGTTTCTTAGCCAGGCATTGGTGGTGCACACCTTTAATCCTAGCACTCAGGAGGCAGAGGCAGGCAGATCTCTGTTAGTTCAAAGCCAGGCTGGTCTACAAGAGCTAGTTCCAGGACAGGCTTCAAAGCTGCAGAGAAATCCCGTCTTGAAAAACCAAAAATCAAAAAGTTTTTTTAAACTTACCTTTGAATTGATAAGCAATATAATAGTTTATTAATCTAATCTTGCCTTATGAAAAGTAGGAATGTCATCCACTGTCATTGCTCATAATACCTTAAGTATTTAATTTATATTATCAGTTGTAAATGCTATGTCTGGATATTTATTGCTTGTAGCTAACTTTAAGTATCACTTGTTTCATTTTTCTATAAGATTATCTCTAGGACAAATAACTGTGTTAGTTAAATTAAATTTTCTCTTCCTTTCTCTGCCTACTCTCTGCTAGCTACTTAAATTTTAAATATGTTGGACCAGGTGACTTAAGTAGTTGCCATATAGGCTTGCTGCCCTTGAATAATGGTGTCACTCTGGATTCTCAAACAGCAGTCTCTAACCAAAGATAACAATCAAGTGCTATTTGTGAAGGACACTTACAGCAGCTGCATGGGACCCTTAAAGATTACTCTGAGGCTTGACTTTTAGACACTTTGACCCAGGCCTGACCAGGATTCATGGTTTTGGGGCAGAAAGGAATTTAGGGACTGGTAAATATGAATCAGAATTGGTGTTAATAAAAATATTATAATATACATTTTTAAAAACAAGGATAAGTAGAAAGAAAAGCATCCAGAAGCAATGGCTGAGTGAAGGTCATTTCCTTATTTATATTTTGGTGAGCTTTGAAGATATTATGAAAGGTTTGTTTGGAACCTAAATCAGATAGTAGGGTGGTTCCTGGGCATTGTCTGACAGAATTATAATTGATAATCACAGGAGTATTACTAGAAGGTATGGTTTCAATAGTGCAAAAAATGTCAGTCAGAAGGAATGATTCCTTTTCCTAGGTCATATATATTCAGGCCTTAAGCCTGGTCCCTTGCTATTTTAACATAAAGTAGCTACATATGGAAGAAACAAAATGTTAGCAATGCGTATAACAAATGTTAACTATGCTAGAATTCTTGCTTCCCAGGTGACAAGAGCTTTCAATCAGGATGAAGGATCTCCCTTGTCATGTCATCATATTTTCCTCATGTTTCTTTCTGTCCACATAAAGACAATTGCCTAGGAAACTTTGTAAATATACAACCCTATGATCATCAAAGCCAGAACATGAAAGTACATTCCAAAAACATAGGTATTTCTATCATCATCTTTGCCAATGATTAATTATCCAATGTAACTTTCCCTTAGAGAAATCAGTAAGAAATGCTCTATTTTCCTTTAGTTTTGTCTTGAAACCTCTCTTTGGAGAGTGACTGTAAATTTCAATATGTTCTAATAGAGCTCCTGATGAAGTGGTTGTATATACTTACATGTCTTTCACAAACTATTTCTTTGTCCTGGTAGAGCACCTAATGCATAAATGTCTGATCAATGACTAGGTGTCCCTCTCACAGGAACCTGTGGCTTTTGTCTGTTTTGTCTAGTTTATTCCTATAAAGAGGGCCACTTTCCAGGGTAGCCCTGGAAGGAAGGCCATTGAGTTCAGGTGTGCTAAGTAGATAAGGAGATGATCACAGAACACAAAAGGTAATAACAGAAGCAGCTTTTGGTGCTTAAGAATCCCAGAAAGAAGAGAACAGAGTGTCTCATGGGAAGGAAGAAGGGAGCCAACTAAAGCAATGGAAAAGGACCTCATTCAATATGAACTTTTCTAGTTCCATCCATCTCTGTGCAAAGTTAATGACTTTATTTTTCTTAATATCTGGAGAGTATTTCATACTGCATATGTGCCACATTTTCCTCATCCACTTGTTGGTTGTTTCCATTTCCTAGATATTGTGAATAGAGCAGCAATGAACATGACTGAGAAAAGTAGCTGTGGAGTAGCTTGTTGAGTCCTTTGGGATATTTGTTAGATTTATTTTTAGTGACTGTTTCACGAATTCACATTGATTTCCATAGTAACTACACCAATTTGCCATCCCACCAAGGATGAATGGAAGTCACTTTTTCTCTACCTCTCATTTTGTTGATCTTTTTCATTCTTGCTAGGGAAAGATGAAATCTCAAAGTTGTTTTGATTTGCATTTTCCTAATTGCTAGGGATGATACACTTTCTTGGAGACATTTCTTATCAATTTTCCCCTCTTTTGAGAACTCTGTTCAGGTCCATTTTAAAGGTCTTATTATTATTATTATTGAGTTCTTTATATATTTTTTATATTAATCCTCTGTCAGATGGCAGATGGCAAAGATTTTCTCTTATTCCATGACCTCCTGTTTATTTGGTTGACTGTTTCTTTTAACTGTGCAGAAACTTTTAAGTTGTCAGTTGTTGGCCTTAATTCCCGGACAAACCATCGTGTTCAGAAAATCCTTTCCTACACTTACATAATGTGGGGTACTGTCTGTTTTCTTCTAGCACTTTGAACATTTCAGGCTTCATGTTTAAGTCTTTGATCCATTTGCAGTTAGTTTTTGTGTGCATTGATAGATACAGATATAATTTCATTATTCTGTATGTGAACATAAAGTTTATCCAGCTCCATTTGGTAAAAATGCTTTTCTCCAGCTTTTTTTTCTGTCAAATATGAAATGGCCGAAGTTACATGATTTTTTTATTTTGTTCCATTCCCCTACATGTCTGTACCATTTTATTATTACTACAGCTTTGTAATATATCTAAAATCTGGACTGTAATCCTTCCACATTGTTATCTTTCTTCAAAATGGTTTTGACTTTCCAAACTTTGTGCTTCCATATGAATTTTAGGATAGATTTTTTTTTGTATTTCTGTGAAAAATGGGATGGGGCTTTTGGTCAGGATTGCATTAAATCTGTTTTTGGTAAAATTTTAATTATACCAGTTCATAAGCATGGGATGCTTCTCCATTTTCTATTGTCTTTATCTATTTCTTTATTGAAAGTCTTAATTGTTTTCATTGAAGAAATCCTTTATTTCCTTGATTAACTTGTTTGTAGTTACTTTCTTTGAGGATTGTTAATGGAAGTTAGTCTGTTATTTCATTTTCTACATTTTTGTTGGTGGTGTGTACAAAAACTTTTGATTTGTGCAAGTTTACTCAGTATGCCACCACATTGCTATGTTTGTCTTCTTCTGTCACTATTTGTATCACTTTAATTTTCTTCTTGTAGGCGGAGGCTGCTTGTTTGTCCCTGTCTCCCAGAACCAAAATAACCACACAGAAACTATATTAATTAAATTACTGCTTGGCCCATTAGCTCTAGCTACTTATTGGCTAACTCTTACATATTAATTTAATTCATTTCTGTCAATCTGTATATTGCCATATGGCTGTGGTTTACCAGGTAAAATTACCAGTGTCTGTCTCCAGCTGTGGCTCCATGGCCTCTCTCTGACTGTGCCTTCTTTCTCCAAGCATGCAGCCTAGCTTTTCCCACCTAGTTCTGTTCTGCCCTTACCATGGGCTCAAAGCACTTCTTTATTCATTAAGCAGTAAAAACAACACATAGACAGAAGGACCTCCCACACCACCTTCTTTTGCCTAATTGCCCCAGCTAATATTTCTACCACAATATTGAAAGGGAGTAAGGGTAGTGAACATCATTTTCTCATTCTGAACCTATCTTTCTTTTGACTAATTGGGACAAAGATTTTGTTACTCTTCTCAAATAACCAGATCTTAGATTCATTGATTCTGTGTATTGTTGTATGGCATGCTTTTAAATATTTTTTTAATTTTTAACAGTACAAATATTTAAAAATTTCCTATAATGTACATAAGTCATTATATATGTGTGTTTGAATATATATGTATATATATATGGGAATATATAAGAATAAAGATGGGAATATATGTGTGAGAATATATACTGGATATTATATTCTTTCTCTATATAAACTATATATATTGTATATAGAACATAAACATATATAGATAGATTCTTCTTAAACTTTTTAACACCAAGAGAAAACAACATTCTCTTGAAGCCTTCTTTTGTCTTGACTATCTCATTATAAACTGTAAAGTGCTGCATATTTAATTGATATGATTGCTAATATGGTCTTACAGGATTAAGGGAAGAAATTTTAAATTCACTGGATCATTAGTTCTTTGTGCCAGTTTTATTAGGAAACTAATCATTTTTCTTTAACCATGTCTTTTTTAGAATCTTCCTAAATACTATGATGACTGCCCTTTTTTCTTTTGGTTTCATACATCTTTTATACGAAAAAACAGGTAGGGATACATTGTAATCCAACAGAAACAGCTTAATGTTCCATGAATGTATTATGACAAGGTTTATGCCAGCTGTCCTAAGTTCAACTTATAGAAACAATATAAATTCTTGAGTTATTCCAGTGCATCAGTTATCTTAATGTGGTTTTAAAATCTTTTAGGGTTTGTTTGCATTTATTATTAATATGAAAAACACATACAATTACATTTACAATTTGTGTTTCCTTTTGTTTACTTTTTTATGGAACTCAGTCCCATAAAAACTCTTTCCTCCACTCTGCTCCTCTCACTTGGAACATTATGTGCCTTGGTAAAGGTTATTTTCAAAATAGAGTTGCTTCTTGAACCTCAGTGTTGCATTACTCACAAGCAAAGTGCCCTTGGACTATAAGTTAAAATCTATTATACTCATATCTTGAGTGTGACAATAAGCTCCTTTCATGGAAGTTTAACATGTATCCCTTAATGCCTTGATTTTGGTAAGGCCTTGAGGAGTGTTGGCTAATTGGCACCCAACAACCAAATTTCAAGTGTGATCCAAGTGTCCACAGCTAAGAAGCTGATTGGTGCACCTAACATCTAGGATAGAAGTTAGAAGGCACGGGTATTAGTGAAGTCACCTAAAATCATTCATGTGATAATTTCCCACTTAAATATGATTTATTAGAAAATCATTTATTAGAAATTGAGCTGAAAATCCTTATTTAAAAAATTAATTGGAGCCGGGCAGTGGTGGTGCTTGCCTTTAATCCCAGCACTCAGGAGGCAGAGGCAGGCGGATCTCAGTGAGTTCTAGGCCAGCCTGGTCCACAAAGTGAATTCCAGGATGGGCAGAACTTTACACAGAAAAACCCTGTCTCAAAAAAATTTTAAAAAATTACTTGGATTTAATTATTCCAAAGAATCTTGTGGTCATGAGAACAAGGGGAGACAGGCAGATAGACAGAGAGAATGAGAATCTACTACAGGCCAAAAAAAATGTAATCTGGTGAGGTGGTAGATGGTGTTGAAATGGTTGTCACTGAACTTCAGACTGACAGACTGGCTAAGGACTGATGATAATTCTAGCCTGTAAGACACCAGAAGGGAGCTTGCAAAGCACGTGATTTAGATTTGCAGTAAATTTGTATTTGGTGACGATTTTGACCATTTATTTCTGGATGTGTACAAACTTTGTTTTATGAGCCTTGGTCCTTTATAATCCATGTTGATATAGGAAAAGCAAAGTTGGGTCCTTTTAATTCTCACTTTTATATAAGATGCTAAAGATGTTTATAACATTTAATTTGCAGATGGATAATATAAACTATTTATAGGCAGGAGACAGATGTTAAGCTAAAACACAAAGTTCTTCACTTAAAGGAAAAGCAATGTTTTACTACTGGGTTTTATTACACATCTGTTATAGAAATATCATGAATAATATCCTATGAACCAGTGTTGGAAGAGTCAGAAACTGTTCTTACTAAGGTACTTTTGACCTTGGAGAGATGAAAGGGGTCATACAACACACAGAGAGGGTCTGAGACTCTGATAGCTAGTGGGGTCCTTTTTATGACCCACCAACAAATTAATCATGGCTTCCTGTTAGCCCTAATAGAAAATGTAATGATTTTTTTCTTATTCTTAGGCTGTATCTACCAAGAAATGAATTGGATAATACGCATAAATCAAAAACATGGAAAATTTACAGTCCAAAGTTTGCAGTAGAAGTATATTTTGATGAGATATAGCGCAAAGTTGTGTAGTAGCTTCTGACTAAGTGCTGTTCCCCTTCTTGGAGAGAAACATGCTCTTTCCACTTCATGCTGCATATTTATGTCTTCTAACCTATGTCACTGATGGTTTGTCTGTAGTGTATGTGTGTACATGTTTCTGGGAAATATATTAAATGTGTACAGTAAAAATTATGTCAATGGCCTTTTTTTTTCTTATGGAGGCATATACAATATGGTCTTTCTCTTTTTATTTTTTTTTCCTTTTTTTTCTCAAAGTTTATTAAAATACAAAAGTCTCCATTTCCGCCCCTCCTCCCAACACCCTCCCACTCCCCTCACTTCCTCCCCTCCTCCCTCTCCATCCCTAAGACCAGTCAGGGCTTCCTGCCCTGTGGGAAGTTCAAGCTCCTCCCCCCTCCCTCCAGGGCCAGGAAGGTGAGCATCCAAACAGACTGGATCCCAAAAATCCAGTATATGCAGAGGAAACAAGTCCCAGTGTCATTGTCAATGGCTTTTCAGAAAGACTCCGGGCCAGCCACATTCAGAGAATCGGGCCTCATTCAGAGAATCTGGTTGGATCACGTGCTCGCTCAGTCCCAGACAACTGACCTTGGTGAACTCTCATTAGATCAGTCCCCTTGTATCAGTGGGTGATCGCACCCCTCGCGGTCCCTATCTCCTTCCTCATGTTCTTCCTCCTTCTGCTCCTCATTTGGACCTTGGGGGACTCCGTCCAGTGCTCCAATGTGGGTCTCCGTCTGTATCGCCATCCCTCATCGGATGAAGGTTCCCTCTGATCTTGCCTTCCTTGCTCACGTTCTCTTTCCTTCTGCTTCTCGTTTGGACCTAGGGAGTTAAGTCCAGTGTTCCAATGTGGGTCTCCGTCTCCATCTCCATCCATCGCCAGATGAAAGATCTATGGTGATAAGCAAAATATTCATCAGTATGGTTATGGGCCAAGGCCGGTTCAGGCACCCTCTCCTCTATCCAGAGAACAATCTGAGGATCTCTCCTTGGACCTGGGATCCCATTTATAATCAAGTCTCTAGTAAACCCTAAACTTCCCTAAATTTCCCTTAGTTGAGAAATATTCTTCCCTGATCCCATATCTATCCTTCCTCCCTCCCCCCCCAGTCCCCCGGTCATTCCCCATTCCTCCCCTGCTCCCTTCTCTCTAACCCTCTCCCCTTCTAGCAACCCTCCCAACCCCCAAGCACCCGAGGTTAGAGGTTACCTGGGACTCTTGTCTATTTCCAATCTCCAGGAGGAAAACTACCTGAATTTTCTTCAGGTTCACCCTCCTATCCAGCTTCTCTAGGATCACGAATAATAGGCTCAAAGACCTTTAATTATGGCTAGAATCCACTTATGAGTGAATACATACCATATTCCTCTTTTTGGGGCTGGCTTACCTGACTCAGTAAAGAGTTTTCTTTTCTTTTTTTTTTATTTTTTTTTTTTGAGCGAGGGTCCCATTATATAGCACTTTCTGGCCTGTAATTCACTGTCGGCTAGATGTGAACTCATAGAAATCTACCTGCCTCTGCCACATGAGTGAAGGGATTAAAGCTATATATCACCATGCCTGGATCTCTTTGTACTGTTTGGAACATTCTGTACATAGAAGTATTAGGTATTATTTTGAAGAACTTTGAAGCTATCAATCTTTCATGTCAATATTAAGGACATTAGGTATCATTTTGAGAAACTTTGAAATAACAGATCTTTCCTGTCAAAAGAATTGAGCTATTATAGAAGTTATCTGTGTTCCCACAATACACATGTATTTACATGTTTCAGAACAAGTATTTATTCTGTTTTATGTTTGTAATTTGCTTATACTTGATTCACAGATTGTTAAGATACATAGGATTGGCAACAATGCCAAAGATTTTTTGTTTTAGTTATTTATTTTACCTGCATACTTGTGTCTCTATGTGTGTATGCATGGGTGTACATGTGCCATAATGCACATGTCAACATCAGAGGACAACTTTTACAGACTGTTCTTTCCTTCTATCATATGGATTCTGGGAATTGAACTCAGGTCCTCAGGCTTGACATCAAATACCTTTACCCACTGAGCAAGCCATCTCCCAGACCAGCAAAATCAAAGTTTTAAATCCAGGAGAAAAGAATCTAGTCCTTTACTGATAGCTCACACTTTCCCCTCTCTCTAGGGGATGCATAAGTAGCTTACATGGCAAAGTCTTTTTAATTACACATAGGAAGGAGAAAACAATGCTGGTAAACACGAAAAGCAAAGACCTTAGTGACTGCTGCTTTTGTGTAACATTAAATGAAGTTGAAGGAAACCAATCTAGATATATTAAAGGTCATTGTCCCTGCCCTCCTAAACCAATTAGCTCTAAGGAATGTTGCCTTTAAGCACTGGTTAGCCACACAAATTAATTTTCTGTTTGGTTTCAAGTGCATAAAAGAACTGCATTCTAAGTCCCTTCTTGACCACGAATTATTGATCATCCTTGAAAAGAATGTCATTTGGGGCTTCACTGAAATAAACTTATTTAGATTTCCCCTTTATTAGCAAGAATGCCAACAACTGTGCCAAGATGAATTTGTTAGGAAATTAAAGATAGCAACTAGTAACTGTCTGTTATCATTACAGGGACACCTTCTAAAAATGTCAGTAGATGACTCCATTATGCAGACCATAGAGTGACTCTGCATAAAGATAGCTATAGCATCAATGGACAATATAATCCTACAGGACCACATCATGTGCACAATTTCATAGACAGAAATGTCACTTTGTAGACCATGGCTATTTAACTCCTGAAAAACCCCACATTCTGTAAAAATCACTCTAAAAACAATAGCTCATGAAAATGAAAGAGGTTTGGGGACAGACCACAGCAATCAAGCAACTCTGCATAGTCAGTATTCTAACCACTTGGGCCTCTGGGTTAGCAGCTCTGAAGTCTAGAATGTAAAGCTGTGTGTTTTGTTCTGAAGTAAAAATAGAATAAATCAAGGCTATGATTGCCACAACTGTTACTTAAGCTCAAAGTTTCTCTGGTAATGGGAGCAGTAATCTGCACAGAGCTAAGAGATGTTTGTTTGTTTTAATGCCTCTTACTTGCCATCCTCTAAATAATACACAAAGGGTTTCAGTCCTGTCTTCCCCTAATGTGGTTGTATGATTTTCCATAAATCCAGTTATGGAAACATGAGCTGGAACATGACAGGATGCATACTATTTAATTTGATTTGCAAGCAGCATCTATTCATCCATAGGCAGAGTCCATGATTGGTTAGCCTTTTAGTTTGCCACACTGGCAATAAGGAGGGAGAAAACTTCAATACTTCAAAAGTGTTTTTGTTTTTGAAAAAATGTTAACATTGAGGTTTCTCTCCCACCATTCAAGGCTCATCAAAATTTCTGCCAGTTGCCAGTTGCTATACTGTTCTGGTTTTGTTCACAGAAAGAAGCTTAGTTAAGCCTCTGGCAGTTTGGCTGTCTTAGATCCCCAAATGAATGATTCTTTTATTATTATTATTATTATTATTATTATTATTATTATTATTATTATT